GTGAAGATTTGTCCCTAGAAGTGTGTGTTCCAGACCCAGAATTCTCCGGGAAGTCCTACTCCCCGCCTGTGCCTTGTCTTGTGGGCTCTACCTATCGGAGAACGAGAGGGTATGTATCACACAGGTTGCCAAGTGAGGTGCACACAGGATCTGCACAGAGGGTGAGAATCCAGGACCACCTAGGCTTCTTTCACTTTCTACATTGTAGAACTCTAATTTATCAGATTGTAAATAGCTGGGCAGGTTTAAAATGGTGGTGCCTGCAGACTCTCCTGTTCCCAGAGAGAAAACACTGGCAAGTCCATAAGCTTTTCTGCAACATGAAAGTCATAAATGTCAGCAAGGACACATCTTGAGAGGAGATATGTCTAAATGTTTTGCCCAGAGCAGTACGATAAATGGCCTGGACCTATTGAGTCAATTCTGAGCAGAAATGACCTAGAATCTCCAAACACCTTCCTCCTCATGCTGTAGGGAAATGTATGGGTGGAATCTGTTGTCCATGGTGGGAATTGTGTTCCCAGTTGGGGGTCCCTCCATGACTGATCTTTGGTGTTTCTGACCTCTTACTTTGTGTGTGCATGGGGGGGTTGACAGCTACCGGAAGATTTCTGGGGACACCTGCAGTGGAGGAGACGTTGAAGCACGACTGGAAGGAGAGCTGGTTCCTTGTCCCCTGGCAGGTGAGAGGCGATTTCTTCTCTATGGCTTCTTGAAATATCATTGAAGTCTTATCTGGATCTTACCTCAGTCAGGCTCTTCTAACTTAGTGGAGGAAAAATAAGCGAAATTATAAGCATCAGAGTTCCTTTTTCCTCTTAAGATTAGCATCTAAACTAATTTATATAGTCTTGCATCTTTAAAGGAATGGAAAATATTTAGTATGGGCTCAGTTTTTTGAAGGATATCCCTCTGTTCATTGAAAAGTATATTTGGTGACTGTTGTGTGCTAGGCCCAGGGTGGGGGCCAAGGGTGCCCACAGGCTTTTGTGTTCTTCATCTGTTGTTGCCATTGAATTTAAAGATACCTATGGCTTTGTGGGAGGTAACTTAGTGGTTTGTCTTAATTTTGTAATAATTATAGCTAATATATTAATGGAATTTTGCAGATTTTAATGTACTTTTCCATGCATAGGCTGTTTAATCCTTTTAACACCCAAATGAAGCACATATTATCAGCTTCACTTAATATGTACATATCTATGAAAAAGCAAGCATGTCCAGAAGAGAGGATAAGAAAACTTACCCAAGGTCACATATCCAGTAAGTGACAGAGTTAAAATTCAAACTCTTGGGTCTATTCCTTTCATTAGACATCACCCAAAAGGCATTCCTATTATTCAGATTCCTATTATTCCTACTAATTTTGGAAGACTTCTTTGGGATGATTACACATGCCATAAAGGTGTACTATATTCCAAAATGTGTTTCAGATTGATTTTCTGGGAATGTAACATGGATATTTGTTAACACAGACATGAAATTATAATACCTTAAAAAAGAGTTAACCTCATGGCCTCTTTTCTTTCTTCACTCTGCTTATTCATTCAGATCTTCCTTCTTTCCTGTGAGCCCTTCTCTTGCTCACTCTGCTCGGTGAGGGCAGAGGATGAGCTGACTTCCATAGCGTGGTGGTGTCCAGCGGAACAGCCACAGGTGCCAAACGAGTCATGAAAGCCGCGTGTAGGGCAGAGCAGCCTCTCCTGCTCCCTGTTCCCTGCTTGCCCTGGTGTTTTTCATGCTAAGCTCATTAGTCCTTTAATTTAATCTTCCATCACTATCAGAGTAATTAACATACCTCACCGTGGAGACTTAAAAAAGAACCACTGCTTCAGCAGATTCCTACAAATGAGCAGATAATATTCAGCTATTCCCCTCACAAGTGCTGTTATTGATGAGGACTTGGTGAGGAGGCTTTGAGTGATGGCTCTAAAGGGCTTAGAGTACATACTTTTGTAATAAATATTTCCAAAGATAATTCAGCAAGGGACAAAACAGTTTGTATAAAGCCATCAAAACTGGCAGGAAAGCTATTTTCTCTTTTGATAGGAGAGGGTAGAATAAGGAATGAAGTAGAAAAAGTCTCATTTCAGTATAAACCACCTCCTAAATGTCAGAGAAGCAGCAGAAGGCTAAAAAAGAAAGGAAATAGAAGGCAGGGAAGTACTCAGAAAGAAAAAGATGTTTTCATAAGGCTAATGGGAACCAGAACATTTTGCAAAGATGAGGTAGTCTGGGCATCTGGAAGGATTTTTATAATGCAGTAATTTTTCTTTTTTTTTGATTACTCTTAACAACACACATTTCCAGGCTGTGCTTACATATGGTCGTCACTGGCCAAGCATTCTGTTCCTTTTCTAGATTAGGCATTATACACTGAGGCACTGCATGCTGCTCTCTGTCTAATCTTGAAGCAGGTTTTTCTGGACTTGGGCTCTTCTTTGTTTCTTGGAAGAAACAAAGCACCATGGGAACTACAGGGACAACTGAAAGGAGGCATTTGATTATCATTTGATAGCTTTTGAAGTAAAGTGAGCCCCAAAGAAAAGAAGGCATACTTACCTATTAGAAACTGTAGGTGGATTCACTTTTTGAGATATTGTTTCTCCTGATGGAGTCCAGAGGGGGCTAATCCAGGCATGCAGCACTGGGAGTCACATCTTGGTCCCACGTGCACCACACTGTCAAATGGATGCTTACTTTTTTTTTTTCCTTCAATTTTTAAAGAACTTTTTACTGTTAGACTCTCTGGGGAGATGACTCAAGTTAACAAATATAGGGACAGACTCAAAAAATAGCTGTTCAACATCATCCTTAAGCCTGGCTTCTCCTAATCCTCCTTTGTCTAACCCCTCTCTGGTGCCATTGTGGCACTCCTCCGGGTTTTGCCGGTGAGGTTTGTTTTCTCCAACTTCTGGGTTGGGTGCTCACATTTATTCATTTATTACAAAGGATTTTACAAAGAATGCAGGTAAACAGCAATAAGGAAGATCGTGCTGGGTGAGGTGGCGGAGTGTGAAGCTTCTGTTCCCTTGCTGGGTGCACTGCCCTCCACACACCTCCATGGGTTGGGCTGACTGAAGCTCCAACATAGAGACTGTCGACAGGGATGCTGAGGTTTTGCTCCTCTCCACTCCTGTGGAAGAGCCTGGATGTCTTCCACGCTGTTTCCTAGGTAGAAAAGAAAGAGTGCTAGGTTTTCCTGTTACTGATTATCTGACTTAGGTACATCTCTTTGGCCGCAAGGGCCTCTATTTCTGTGTCTTAAAAAGTGGCAACCTGAGGATGTAGCTCAGTGGTAGAACTTGGTCTTAGCACCTGCAAGGTCCTGGCTTTGATCCTTAGTGTGTGAGTGTGCACATGTATACACACACACAAAATAAGAGTAGCAGCAGGAGGAGCTGGGGTCCCACTGTTCTCTTTATGTAGATCATTAGTATCTACATAAAAAGAGGCCTTATAGTTGTCATGTTTTAAAATATAGACTATGAGTACCTGGGTTCAGATCTTGGTTCTGCCACTTACTAGTTGTATGGTGTTAGACAAGTAACTTAGCCTCTCTGGTCGAAGTTTTCTCATTTGTAAAACTGGGTTCATGATAGCTCTTCTGTCACACAGTTGTTGGAAGGATTAAGCAGTGCCTAGCATGTGGCAAGTACATTGTATGTTTCTTGAGCAGAAAGAAAGTCTTTGTGATGATTATATTGCAAAATATCTTATAAATAGTCCAGAACAACTGTATTATTATTTTGAAAATCTGACAAATTGGTATGATTGCCACATGTCATTGTGAACAATATGAATGAACAAACTGGTTAGAAAACTTAGTGGATGTGAGGTAGCCTCTAAAGTCTCATGTGAGACAATGCAAGGTGTTCAGAGGTGAAACGGTTAGATTTGAGAGCTGTAAACTACTCAGTGGATTAATCTGTTTGATGGATTCATAATCTGAAAATCATAATGGGTGGTAACTGTAAGCAGGTAGTGTGTGGCTGGAGGAGAGGCTCCCTGGGAGGGTGCCTTTGGGGTTTTATATTTTGCCCCTGGCACTTGCTTTTGTGTTTCCCACTGCCGTGTGCTGACAGCTTTTCTCCACCATGCCCTTCTGCCATGATGTTCTGCCTCAGCTTGGGCCCAGAACAATGGAACCACTCAACCATGGACTGAACCTCTGAAACCATGAACTCAAAATAAACTTTCCCTTCCCTAAGTTGTTCTTGCAGGTATTTTGGTCATAGAGATGAAAAGCTGACACAGTTAGTTCCAAGTCTTCAATGACTAATGGTGTCTGGTTAATGAGATTATGATGTTGTTATTCAGGTTTCCTTCACGATAACCAGCTGGGAAAGGTTTATTTTAGCTCACAGTTTTAGAGGTGTCAGTCCATGAATGGTGGCCAGGAACCAAAAGAGCAGCAGCAGGAGGAGCTGGGGTCCCACTGTTCTCTTATAAAGGTCACACTCCCAGTGACCTAAAACCTGTGAGGCCCCCACTTCTTAAAGGTTCCATAACTTTCCAATAGCATCAAGCTGAAGACCAAGTCCTTAACTCATGGGTCTTTGGGTACACTCCAGATCCAAGTTATTGTGTGGTGCTATGGGACAGTCAGAAGGAGAGGGAGAACATGGTGATTGGTCTCATTGATATTGGCAAATGTGACTCTGAAGACTTAGAGGTGGAATGCAAAGTGTGGATATTGAAGCAAGTATACTGGGGTATCTAGATTTAAAAAAACATCTAACGGGTAAAACATTTGCAGATGAAGAAACAGATTCACTGGCATTCAAATAACCTGCTCAAGGCAGAAATATCATCCATGATATGCCTTCCAGGTTTGGATTCCTAGTTTTTTTCAGTTGATCTAGACCATGTAACAGTGGTGTTGAAGTTTGTGTATTTAAAAAAAAAAATAAAAAAGGTCAGATCAGCTAGGAGCTCTTCAGCATCCCCCAGGTCCACTCTCCGTTGCTTGTGTATCTGGCAGAGGAGAACGAATTCATCTTGTACGCCATGCGGAAGTCCATCCACCGCTATGACCTCGCCTCTGGAGCCACAGAGCAGTTGCCTCTTAGTGGGCTTCGGGCAGCTGTGGCCCTGGATTTTGACTACGAACGGAACTGCTTATATTGGTCTGATCTAGCGTTGGATATCATCCAGGTGAGTCAGCCATTGGTCTGCTTCTGGGGGTTGCAAAGCTGGGGATCAGATTTCATCCTCATACATGCTAGGCAAGCTGTCTATTACTGAGCTCTTCCCACAGCCCAAATCCATGCATTTTAAAGGAGAGAGAGTTTATCTTTATTCATTGTCTATGTAATCATTTTAGAAACACAATTCCAACAACTTTTACCTATATTCTTAACCCAACAGAAATTATACAGTGTCTGGGTATCTTGGGGGTGAGGAAGGGAGTGACCGTGAGTATAGCTGTCCCAAAGATAGCACCTGATGGCTAAGAGCCTCACAAGGGAAGAGCAGCTGTGAAGGCAGATACAGGAACTCAGAAATAGCAGCAGTTTGGTTTCATTAGTTTTAAAAGCAGACACATGCATCTGAGTAATCTCTGACCTCATTAATGTGATATAGCACATAGTTTAGTAACCAGTGTTCATGACGCTAATGTAGAGTAATATAAAGGATTAAATTCTGTTCATTGTTTTGTTTAAAACAGGAAACCATAATACATTTTGGAAATGCCCTTATTAAAACTCAGCTTCATGTGCCTGGAAAATTTAACAGTGTAAAACATCTCATCCCTTGGCCATCCAGCCAGCTGAATAAAGGGTTACTGTCCACGAGACTGATTTGGCAGAAGATCATCTGAGCATTTCACAGCATTTACTGCTGTTTTTCTCTCTCTAGCGCCTCTGTTTGAATGGGAGTACAGGGCAAGAAGTGATCATCGATTCTGGCCTGGAGACAGTGGAAGCTTTGGCCTTTGAACCTCTCAGCCAGTTACTTTACTGGGTGGATGCTGGCTTCAAGAAGATTGAGGTATGTGTATCCCCATGTTTTTCTTGATTAAATGATCAGGGGAGCACCTGGGCTTTGATCCAGATTTGACACGGGGGTGGGAGCCAGTGTGTTAAGTTACTCTGGCAATTTTCTAAGAATTTCCAAAGAATGGAAAGGCTAAGCCCTTAGGAGAAGGGGAAAGGAGGGGGAGGGTTGGTCCCAGAATGATTACTCACTGCCATAAAAGTCCCAGGTGAGAACATGGCGTCTGATGTCATCAGAGATAACGTCATTAAGATAACTGAAAGTTTATACTTTGGCTAACAGAAGCATAATATAATAACAATAATGATAATGTTGCCATATTGGTAACAGGCCAGTAATAATGCTAGAGTAATAATGACAGTGTCATCATCAACATTATTATCTGTAATAATAATATAGATATTATTGTCTATAATTTAGCTACCCCCAAAACGTATTCAACCTTACATGTGCAAGGCAACATGAGGGTAATAAATGACTTATACACCACCGAAAACATTGGGTTGAAATTTACGTCTGCCTAATTCCTGAAGGTTAGTGCTGAGGCCAGGGACACTGCCTCAGCAGCTCTTTGTACTGGTGCTACATGGAAGTATAGCATGCGGGTCTTCAAAGTGGGAAGTATAGTAAAAGCAGGGAGGTGCAGAGGCAAGTGAGGTTGCAAGACTAAAGAAACACTTGAGAGGAGCTTCGAGTTCAAGCTTTACCCTACCAGCTAAGTGATATGGTGCAAGGAACTCGGCTTCTTTAACTTCCGTCTCTTCATGTGTCAAATGAAGATTGATTTATTCACTCAGCCATTTGACAAGTGCTTTGGTGCATGATATGTGATAGCTCTGATCTTAGGCTCTAATGATGCCACACTGGGCAAGAAGACCTTGTGCAAGTTCCTGTTCCGATAGACCTTAAGTTTCAATAAGGACAAAATGATAAAGAAATAAAGAAACCAGTTCTGTTGTGATGAGTGCTGCAAAGAACTTAAGTGCAGGTGGTGTAATGACATGGCTGGGGAGTGGAGCATTAGGAAAGGCAGACAGGGGAGGCCTCCTGAGGCTGTGGCATCTGAGCTCAGCCTGCTGGTTGCAGTGTGCCCCTCATTGGGATGCTGACAGAAGTGAACAAGATGCAGAGTGCCTGGTATCTACCAAGTGCTGCCTTAGTGGTTTTGTTATTGCTATTTCTGTCCTTTATTTACTTATGTGTTGCCAGAACTTTATGAGGTGCTAGAAAAATGCATCTGCCCTTTCATAGGCTGGTTGAGTGACTCCTGCTTAACTCAAATACTGTTTGTGCAAAGTGGTATAGGATGAGTCCAGGAGCTCTTGGATGAAGTGGGTTAGAAGAGTTAGGAAGGGAGGTCAACCCAGAGCTGTTTTGAAGGAAGGTTACTGTGTGTTTAGAGCAAATAGTCGGGAGGGCAGGCCTGTGATGAGTATGGCGGGAGCAGAGTAGTGAGTATATATCAGGCTCCAGGATTGTGGGGACTGCGCAGCTAGAGTGGAAGAGGGAGAACGTGGGGCTTGTTCCTGGACTTTTTGTTGCAAGGCTGCTATGTAGAGAATGGGCTGTATCGGGCCATTGGTGGAGGGTGGAGTAACATGAGTGTGTTAAATAACACAAGATTAAGACAAGTCCTCCATATCTGTGGGTTTCACATCAGTGGATTAAAAATATTCAAAAACCAAAACGAAACTGTACTGAGCATGGACAGACCTTTTTTCTTGTCACGATTCTCTAAACAACACTATAACAACTATTTACACAGGATTTACATTGTATTAGGTATTATAAGTAGTCTGGAGAGGATTTATAGTATATAGGAGAATGTGTGTAGGTTACAGGCAAATGCTTTACAATATTATATAAGAGACTTGTGCATCCTTGGATTTTGAACCAGCTCTGTGGATACCAAAGGGTAAAGCAAGGGTGACCACTTAACTCTGCAGATCATTGTGTGGTAGGAAGTGCACACATAGTTCCGACTACTCTCAGACTATATGAAAATTGCCACATGAG